AGGGGATCTTAGACACTAGGCAGGGTGTGTTAAAATATCATGAATTATAGTAAAAAACAAACAATTTCTAATAATAATGATTTGTATGCTTGGTGTGTTTTGTGACCACACTTGCATAATTCGGGCAAATTCGCCATTAACCGCAAACTGCTCTCTGTACATGTCAATGTTTTTATAAACTTCAAATGAAACGCTTCTCGCAATGCATGCTATCTTGGAAATAAGCTGTCTCATTCAATACGTCATGCTTAATTCTATTTTCTTGAGAGCTGCGAAAACATTCACGCCTCCTCCACTTTACTGCGACTTCTCTTTGAGCCTGGAAAGCACGGGTCAAGGGGACAAAGACTCATTGGAGGTAACGCAGAATGTTTACAAGAAATGCTAATAATTACGTCGCCAAACAACCCGACAAGCTGTAAAAACACGCTACTTCAGACCTCAAGGGAGAAGAATGAGGATTATGCCCGCTGTGTTATCTAGCCAGCTCGCAACCGGGAGTCCACCGTTGACCAATGGGGTCTCAGAACCTACAGACACACACCCAGGTGACCACTGCATACACAGCCTTGTGAGTCTAACTACTTAATAAGTGGCTGTTAGAGGTTTTCCTGGACAAAGTCCAGAGCTGACAAAAACAAGGACAGCTTCATTTATCAATCAGTCCAATCAGGCCTATTTCCGGGCCTACGTAGTCACATGGTGAGCATTACTCAATTCCATATTGCATAGTGCAACCTGAAATCAAGGAGAGTATAAAACATTGAATCGTAATTATGACGGACGACAATATATATGGTTTATAGTAGGCCTATGTATATTGGAACTGATCATGGTCATAATCCACTGCAGTTTTACTTCTTTGATCAAACCCAAAACACATTTTCCCTCTCCATTTATATGTTTTACAATATCCCTCTGTATGCTTCGGAGGTCATTATATCCTGAAGAATGTTGCTTCATTTCCAATCCTCTTTATGGATGACAGATGAGAAGCGGGCAGGTATTAGAGTGGAACACTTTATCACTTACTCCGTAAGCCCCTTGATGAGCGACATTCACTTGAGAATGTCATTCCAGAGAAAGAGAGAGAGAAAGACAGAGAGAGAGACCTTTCAGTATAAGCCATGCACCAATCACAATGAACTACTGTGAGGTCAGACAAATATGACCATTGCAACTCCTAAACATTGTGTTGCCAAAATTCTGTTTAAAACGCATATATTCATTTACACAAGCAGGGCTGAGGCCCAATGTTTATTGTCATTTTAAGTGGAATGTAGAATTAAAAAATGATTGTGCCCATATTTTGCATCTTACTTTGATAGAGGGCCTGATGAAATTGTGGTTTGACAATTCGTTCACACTGTTCATATATGAACGTCACACGCGACCCCGTAAGTAGGCTTTTTTAGTTGTTGTCATGAATCATTTTAATAGCATTTAATATAAATAATGAGTAAATTAACATTATATGCAGAATATGGCTTTAGGTTGTTTATGCAGCCATGACTGATGTACTCTAAATAATGGAGTGTTTACATTGGAAAACATTTTCTTTATTCTGAGTTGCATGGAGTTCTTTGTTTCTGAGTATGTTTGTATTGGACGGATTTGCATTTCGCAGCAAATCTGTCACGGAATGATGGAAACTGATCTACTGATGTATTATCTAAAATGTACGAAACAGAAAAGCATATACATTGTTTTTTTCCACTGTGAGGTTTTTATATAACTCAAATTCTGTCTTGAGTAATAAGTAGGAGAATAACGACAGGATATCTGCATCACTGGTGGCTCAGTAGTGAAAAAACGTCTGTTCTTGCAACTTGAGATAGACCTCCCATATTTCATTTCTCTCTTGCTGATAGCATTTATCAGCAAAATCCTGATAAATACAAAATATGCAACTTAAGCCTGAGCATAACTAAGCCGCAAAGGTGGACAGGATTACCGGACGGCTGGGACAGACATCAGATTGTATTGCCATAAAGGGTCATTAGGCTGTTGGCAAACTGTACCTCAAGCTCCAGCTGACAGGCCTTTTCAAGAAACACAGATGAAAAATATGAGAGTAAAATTCCTACTGACAGACAGTTGAATTAGATAGGCTGGAGAAATTGCAGATTTTTGTAAAAAAAAAAAAAAATGTATTTTTCACAAATATACACTTTTGGAGTGCTATCACACAATTTGACCTATAAAAATGAATATCACATACAACAACAAGGGTTCAGATTTGATGAGTGGGTGAGATTACATCAGGAAGCATATCACTCCACAAAGATTTTAAAAAGACCAAAGCATTTTATTGGATGATTAAACTTTTTTTTTCTCTTCATGATCATAATCATTATCCCCAAGAGTCAATTCTATGTGAAAAAATAATGTTTTCATTGCAAAACCACAAAATAAAGTTCACAAGCGTTTTTACGCCAATGGTCGGTCTTCACGGTGAAGCATTCACTGACTTATTTGGCATTCTTCTATTTATGCCGAATGAAAGGGGCGATTATCTCATCAAGAGCACTTGGACAGGTAGACAGGCCCGTGTTCTGGTGTGTTGTCACTTTCACTGGCAGAAGGAGAGTCGTGTCATTAATCTGAGTGATCAGTGAGATGGGAGCTGGGGGTGATGACGGCCTCCGTCCTATAAAACCCTCCCGTCCCCATTGCTCGTCCTATAGCACCCCTCAGGCCATATTGTGATCTCCGTCCTGATAAGGACCGGTGGAAGCGAGACTGCCAGACTGGCCGGGCAGGGTCGGAGCCTCTATGAGGACTCAGTTGCGATACTGTCCTGGAGGGGCCAATGAAAGGCATTCTCACATAGGAAGAAAGGCTGCGAGTCAGTCTGACGGCCCCCCTCCCCTTCTCCTGAGACTCCAGGCGCCACAGTGTAACTGCAGTCTCAGGTATGAGATATTCCCAGGCCCTTACCTGAGATGGACTGCAACGATCCTTCCACTTTATTCCAAGACTTCCAAGCCTTTTGCAATTATTTTGATTAGTAATTCACCACCTATTCTGGGACTAGTATAAATCTGAAGCTCACTGTATGACAATATAGTTATCACTGTATAAAATATTGCGATATGTAAATATAGCATTATTGAAACTTCAGAGTGATTAAATGCATGAATGTGAACTTAAATAGTTAAGCGATGACATAAGAGTTTACATGCTTGATGTTAAAAACTGGAGTGACACATATAATAGAAGCCGTGTCTCTCAGAATGCGATTGTGAGTTCAGTTCTCTTTCACGTCTTATTGCGCTTGAATGGTCAAAAACACAATTACACCAAAATGGACATCGTGTGGAGTATTCATGTCAATACAACTGGTTATGTCTCAAGAGAAAGTAAACAGTTGGTGTAAACCAGATATGTATCTGCCAGGGTTGAGTAAAGGGAGCTTTAAATAAAAACAACAAGACTTAAAGGGATAGTTCACTTTGAAATTAATTTTCGATATGTTTTAGCTTACCTCAAGGGCATCCAAGATGTAGGTGTCAGTCATATAATGCAGGTATATGGGGTCCACCTTAAAGAGCATGCACAGAGAAGTCCAAATTAAACATGATTGAATGACTCATAAATGTAAGCATTGATGGCCTAAGACATGAAACGAGTGGTTTGTGTGAGAAAATGAACAGTATTTATATTGTTTTTACCTCATGTAACCACAGCCACGTCCAAGTGATCTGAGGGTGTGTTGTGTAGGAAGTAAAATGGTATTCTCCTCATATTTGTAGGAATATGTATTCCCCCATATAAGGAAGCAAAATGGTAGGCTATTCTTCTCATCTCCATGTCCAGAATGTCCTCTGTTGTTTCACTGCATTCGCTGTATTTTTAAGTAAAAACGAGTAGCCTACTGTCATATCATCCTATCTAAATGATTTACTTTTGCTTTTCTACTTATATTTGGATTTTGGATGATTACAAAATAATTTTGGAATATCTTGGTTGAAGGTTTCACCGTCTGTCAACAAATTGGAGCCACGGGACAATTTTCATGTGTGGTTTTTGTGGTCCATGTGCTGTCATTTAATTAGACTAAAATGTCCATGACTTTGGCTGCAAGATTTTGAGACCCACCTTCATGTTATACTCATTTCATACAGAATTTCACTATTATTCATTGTCCAAAATAAAAGAAGATTTAAAAATTTTTTTACAAATCTAAATTAGACTAAAATGTCCATGCTTTTGGCTGCAAGATTATTTTTGAGACCCACCTTCATGTTATACTCATTTCATACAGAATTTCACTATTATTCATTGTCCAAAATAAAAGAAGATTTAAAATTTTTTTTACAAATCTAAATTAGACTAAAATGTCCATGCTTTTGGCTGCAAGATTATTTTTGAGACCCACCTTCATGTTATACTCATTTCATACAGAATTTCACTATTATTCATTGTCCAAAATAAAAGAAGATTTTTTTTTTTAAATTACAAATCATTTAAAATGTATGTGTGAATGTATTTGTAAATGTTTTTGTTTTTATGGTAGGCTACACATACACACACACACACACACACATATATATGAAGACCTCCGATGCAAAAGCCTAAAAGTCACCTAAAAAATAGACAATAATAGCCTATTGAGTGCGCATAATTCATTAAATACTTTTAATTCAAACTCACAAAATCTTAGGCTCAGCCCATTCAGAAATGTCGGTACTTAGGTAAAAACCTAATAAAGCCTGATAAAAATGTTAATATCAAAGAAAAACAGACAGACTTAGAGGCTAGCCTGCCTACTGTATATTGATATGAAAAATATAACAAAGAAATTACACACAATTCAAACTAACAATCAATCAATAAATAAAAAGATTAAGGCAAATTCAGCCACATTATACAGAGCCTTCATAAATAATCACTTCAAACTGCTTGCTGGCTCATTATAATGGCAGTGAAACCGCATGGTCATAAGCCAGTCTCTGGCCATATGGAGATTCTGGCAATGCGCATGCGCACATCCCACTCGGTTATTACGTCGAGCATCCATTCCATCAGAAACTGTGTTGAAACGCTAGCACGAGATGTCAGAGAAGAAACAAACAGTGGACTTGGGGCTGTTGGAGGAGGATGATGAATTTGAAGAATTCCCAGCAGAGGGTAAGGGAACTGTAACTGATTGTGTTTTAGTAGAAATACGCTCTTGTGCCAATGTAAGGGTAAAAATTAAAGACAGTGACTCAGCTAGCATTGCTATGCTAACCGAAAGAACATTATTTGCTTTATTTAACAAATTGTTGATTTTTCGGTCTCGAAGAGAAAAGATATGAATTAAATACATTCTATTATAGTATTTCTTATAAACTAACGTTACTTGAGTTCTCCAAGTCCACTTAGCCTACGTAAACAAACAACATTAGATAGCAGCTAAGTTAGCATTTTAAGCACCACTGAAGCTAACAGTGCAACATTGTTTGCAGTAATTATTTCTCTGTTGCTTTAAAATTGAAACTGAAACGCATAGACAATGATTGGGCGCATGTATTGAATTTGGCGACTTTTTTTTTATTAATTTTGGGCAAAATTAGTAGATGCTGCACAGGGCATTATTTTGGGAAAAATTAATAGATGCTCCACAGTTCCACTATGCAGAGTGACTTGTGTTTGTGTGTGGAGCTGGCCTATGTATGTAAATCATCGTCAGCCTCATTGAATTGTTGCCATTCCCAGACTGGACAGGCCTGGATGAAGATGAGGATGCTCATGTTTGGGAAGATAACTGGGATGATGACAATGTAGAAGATGACTTTTCTAATCAGCTGAGGTACATGTTTACTTATGAATTTGTGTGATTATACATACGAAACCGAGAAGTTTGTTAAATCCTAAACATGGAGTGTACTAGCCTAATCTAAATTCACAGTGAATAAATCCTGCTAGGCATGCATATTATATTGTGCTGTCCTCTTGTCTATTGCTAGAGGCTTCGAAGTTCCCACCCTGTTAAACCCACTTATTTTTCTAAAGAATTTTGTGTGGTTCCACTCATTTAGAAGAAAACGGTCCCTAAGGGATCCAATGTCCAATGGCTAACCGACACTCATGGTGGCCTCAAACCACATTTATGAACTTTCCTATGTGTGAGGACTTGACCTCATTAAATATAGCCATTTAATATGTTGAAAAAAATCACTATTCTCAATAGTTAATGCTTTCCATTCGTTCCCCATATTAAACATTCATTTCCCTTTCCCTGAAGCCTGGATGCTATAAATCTATTGACATTTCTTGTAAAACACTTTTTGATTTTCAACACTGGAAAAGTTTGTTTCGTTAATGTATACGATGATGCATGATTATTGAGACTTAATTGAGAAAGAACAGTGCAAAAAAGTTGTAATTTTAATGATTTACTTTTTGAAATTAAGTTGTAAAAAAGTAGATGTAAATATTGAATTGGAGTTGTAATATTAAATGTAGGAATACATTTTTTAATATAAAAAAGTTATTCAAATTGTGAAAATTGAAATGCCAATTTAATTCTTTCTGTATTTGTGAGTTATTGCACTTTTTAACTTTCCCCCACTTTTTTCCATTCTTTTAAGAGCGGAGCTTGAAAAACACGGATACAAGATGGAAACCTCTTAATGGTGGATCAACAGATTTTTCCACATTTGTATATTGTCAGCTTGTTCTGTCAATAGAAAATGTGATTTCTCTTATTACTTCTGTAAGAAGCCCATCGTTGTAAAACGGGTCAGTTGAAACTGATATCAATGTTTTTTTCCCCCTCTCTTATATGCAACCTGTGTTAATAATTGTGATAATAAAGAAATGTTTTCCCTATTCTGTTTAAGTCTTCTATTTGCATGATTTATAATCGTCTTTTTTTTTCTAAATGGCACAGGAAAGTCTGGTACATATTGTTAGGCAGTGAGCAGACTTCCATGTAACATTCAGGGATGCAGCTGCACACATCCAGGCCCCTGATCTGAAACTGCCCCCCTGTGCCCTGACTCATCCCCCTGCAACCATGGGACTTGGCAGAGTCTCTGGTGGGGAGATTATCCAGTGAAGTGTTTGTCTCTGAGGCACGGAGGTGGTCACAGCGTGAGCCCCCAGCCGGTCCTGCCTGGGCCTGCCCACTCCCGACCGGGCCCTGCTCTTTTGCTCTTCACAGCGAGAGCTCCCACACAGAACCAGAAGCCAATTTGCCCAGCCGCACTCCCCCCTAGCAAAATGATTTCTCTGGATTTGTGGCTGTGCGTCCCAACGACATAATCAGCTGAAATCAATGCCAATAAGGCATCTCCTACCATCATATTTTAAAGCCTTGAATTGAGTATTTTCTCCCCCCAAAATTTAAAATATAATTTGAAAATGAATGAAATTATTTGTTTGATGCATCACATTGTTTTGTTATAGCTATGGGCTTTTCACACTGCGCTTAACCCTGGGTTATCGACGTCGTTCCAGACCCTGATTTAACCCCAGGTACAGGAACGTTTCGCACTTGTAATTAAACAGCGGGGTCAGCACAGCTTTTTACCCAGGGTTATGAAACCTAGCTCCGGAGCAGAGTTAGTACCGCTTTTGCGGTGCTAAACCACTGATCTGTGCTAAACTTGTACAGCGTGAAACGATGCGGTGTTAGAATGTTTAGGCTACATGCTTGGCAACCGACAGCCAATCACATGCCTCGTGCTTTTTGCAGTCATGGAAACAGAGCTCCTTGTATTAACAGAATGCATCAATTTCATTCTTACCTTTATAGTCTGATAAGGGTAAACTTGATATTTGGCAGTATTTGATATGAGAATGCGCGATGCTAGAGCCTTTATGTAAATATATCTCATGCCACGTTCGACCAATGAGTGACACCACAATTAAGGACGTGGTTTAGGAAAGTACAGTGTAATACCCAGTCGAGTGAAACGGGAATAAAGTTAACCCGGGATTCCGTTTACCCAGGGTTTAGAATTGACCCAGGGTTAACTAATACAAGTGTAAAATGCATTTATGAGGCTCTAACTACTTGCTAAACTATGTGTTTTTTAATAGATTTTGAGTTGTTGGTTCTGACTTTAATGACTTGATGTCAAATTTATGATTACATCCTCTTTTTTGACATCAGGGACACCCACTTCTTGCAGGCGCACACAATCATAACATGTAAATCCACCCATGCCCTTCAAAATAAGTGCTCTGCGCTGGATCATTATTTTAATTGTTGGAGAGCCATCGAGGTGTGAAAATCACTAAGTGAGAGCAACATTGGAGAATCCAGGGCCATTTTGTTTGTGCCTGAAGGCGGAAGATTGGGCAAGGTTGGTCTTTGTGGCTTCCCCAAAAATTCAGTTTCACAGTTCAAGAGAACGATTAAGAATGCATATAGTATTTTCCTCTCTATTATTTCTTTTGTCCTGTTGGCAAATTGATAGTGAATTTGGATCCTTTTAAATTCTGGCAACAGGTCACTCTTCCTGACCTGAAATCAATGAGACAAATCTAAAACTTTTTTTTTAAAAAATGTATGAATCACTTAGGTGTGCAACGCATTAAAATATAAGTAGGGCTGTGAAATGATTAATCGCGATTAATCGCATCCAAAATAGAAGATTGTGTACATAATATATGTGTGTGTAGTGTGTTATTTTGTATATATAAATACACACAGATACATGTAAATGGTTAAGAAAAATGTGTTATTACTATATCAAATATTTATATTTATGTATAATATACATTTTGTGTAAATACATATAAAGGATATACATGCAAATATATCATACATGTATACATGCATGTGTGTGTATTTATATATACAAAATAATTATACACACTGCACACACATATATTATGTAAACACAAAATTTTATTTTAGATGCGATTAATCGTTTCACAGCCCTAAATATAAGATATTTTTTAATATATGTAAACACAATGTAAAAAAATACAGCTATAAGTAGCAACTTGTTTTTACATTAACACACCTTTCAACTTTTTTTAATACATTATACTTACAACTCAATTTCTTTAAGTCAGTGTAATGTAATTTTAAGTTGAAATGACTAATCAGCCAATTTGGTCATACTTAAATTGAAGGCAGCAACTTAACTTTAAGTTGAAATAGGGTGAATAACAATAATTATTAATAGCTATGTTTTCTTTTTTAAAGAAGTCTTTTACACATATACTGCATTTATTTACTTAAAAACAGCAGTATTTAGACAGAAAATGTTGTTTTTAATATATTTAAAAGTGTAATTTTCAGCATCGTCTTCAGTGTCACATCCTTCACAAATTATACTATTATGATGATTTGCTGCTCATGTCTTTTTATCAACAATGTTGAAAACAGTTGTGCTACGTCATATTTTTGTGAAAACTGATTTTTTTCAGAATTCTTTGTCGAATGGAATGAACAGCATCTATATGAAATAAAAGCTTGTTTAACATTATACATTTCTTTACCCTCACTTTTGATCAATTAGCCTACAACATGGTATATGCTATATGTGTTAATTCAATAGGCTAAATATCAATACCGGTATATCTGAAAACAGAATTAAATGTGATGTTTTATTATAATGAAAAATGAATTCACACCCTCGCTTTAGTTTTATACTGATATAATTTGATGCACTATATCGAGATATACTAACGTTTATTACTTGGTGTTTGTGTCACACTAGGATGGGTGTTGGGGTCGCACCGGGGTGTTTGCGACCACAGCGAGCATCTCCAGCATGAGCCGAGAGAAGACAGGGGGCCGTCGTGCAGGGAGTGCAGCTGCTGCAATAATAGGCCTAATTGCACGTTTCTTTTGTGGGTCTGAAATTAGTGGCAGAGCACAGCTACAATGCCCAAACCTTGAGTAAAAAAAACTGACTCACAGGGGCAACTGTTCAGCAGTGCAGCCCATCACCACCACCCACTACTCCCTGTCCCACACCTGCACTCGCCCTCGCTAAAGTAAACACAGATAATAAGGTGTAATTACTTCAAAAAATAATAACGAGAGCCCTCCATGTGACAATGGTTGGCCTGTTTATTGAGGGTGGAAAAAAACTTCTGAAGACACAGATGAGGGTTCCCCCATTGAGGGACCTTAAAAGGACATGTGTATCAGTGTAAGTGAGTGTGTTAACCTCATTTCAGGGCCCTTTTCTCTCCATGTGCATTTCTTTGTCTGTCTTTACTTTTTCCAATGTATGGACTGTGGCACTAAAAAAAGAAGTCACTTATGGTGGTATTGGCTGTTAGGCTACTCTTTATTTTCTCTGCTGTTCATTTGCCTGTAGAGCTTGTCGTGGTATTTGGAAATATTACAGTGTTTTCCTGTCACCACAAAAAACAAGGCCTCGTTTTGGACGTCATTTTGCACTAGAGAGACATTTTGATAAATTCTTCATAGAAAATTATTTCAATTGACTTTGGAAAAAGTTTTAAAGTCACTGATATTATAATATATAAATATATAAACCCTAAACCATTTTTTATGTATTTTATTATTTTATTCATTCAATATTTAACTATATATTTATTTATACATGCATTATATTTAAATAAAAAGTTACAATATTCTGTTTACATCATTAAAATGTATACCTGTATGTATGTGTATATATAATAAATATATATATATAATACATAATTAAATGTAATACAATTATGCATCACTATTTCTAAGTCTATGTCTGCTAATTTACATTACTAAATCAATAAATCATTTTAAGTTTATGGAAACCTATTAAGGGAAGTTGTTTATCAGAAGTATTAGGTTTTCTGAATTCTCTACAGCTAAAAAAACAATTTGATGTCTAAATGAAATTAATGTAAAAAATAGAAATTAAATTGAGTAAAACGTCATAACAGAAAGAGGTTTTATCAGCTCAACTCAGCGAACATTGAAAAGTCTTTTGTTTATATGTTATTGTTTAGGCTAATTGATAAAAAAAAGACCAAATCCAAAATAAAGAGCTATAATAATGGTTAATTCTACTGTCATATGTTGCTATAGGAATGTTCTTAGTGGTTTGTTCAAAATGTAAAAAGGTTTTATTTATTTGTTTATTTATGTAGTTCCCCACTGGGCTCCTAAATCATCTTCAAGCTCAGCGATACCCAGCAATTAGAGGTTGTTTTTATTCCATCAGTCCTGCAATCATATTTCAAGCATGGCCAACATATCAAGGCAACTCAGCGCACTTAATAACCCTGGACAGTCTGGAGGAAAGCACATCAAGACTCGTCAGGGCAATTAAGCACTCTTGATGTTATCCTCACTAGTGAATTATCAGACCTCTGATAATTGTTATTAATTAATCATCTCATTCACTCAATGTCTCTCCTTTCCACAATAACTGTAAGGGACTCCAAATGACTTTTTAGATGTGTGGTACACCTTAAAGGCATAGTTCACTTTGAAATTAATTTTTGATATGTTTTAGCTTACCTCAAGGGCATCCAAGATGTAGGTGTCTTTGTTTCCGCAGTATTTTCAATTTTGACATTTTTCAGTCAAACCGTTGTTGTCTGTCTACTGGAGGTGAAGGGTGTCCACCAAAAAGCATGCACAGAGAAGTCAAAATTAAACATGATTTAATGATTTAATGGCCTAAGACACGAAACGAGCGGTTTGTGTGAGAAAACGAACAGAATTTATATCGTTTTTACCTCTTGTATAGCCATGACAAAATGATCTGACTGCACGGGGCGCTTCGGTCTGCGCATGCGCTGGAAGTGATCGCTTGCGCGCCTACCCCACTCTTTGTTTATACAGAGATTTTGGAAGTTTTACCTTTCACTAAACATATTTAGATATACGGGAAACCACAATGGAG